GCTAAAGTTATTGTAAAACACTCTCCTTTAGCATACTTTGACATCAGACACACATCAAAGACACGATTATTTTAAAACTGACTTTACTAAGTGATTACAAACCAAATCAGATTTTTAGGCATAGTGTTTCTACATTCACAGCATGGCCTAGCAAATCCAGCTGACTTAAAGAACAAAAACAGATTCAAGAAAGAATTAAGCAATTACAGATTGGAACTTAGAGGAGGAAAAGCTGAGTAATACAGCAAGCACACACAAAGAATATATTTTTTGCCACTATTGGACTTTGGCCAGTACTTCTGCCCTCTCACTGCCTATCCCCATCAAAACTAAAAAAAATCTACAATTCTCCAAGAAGAGACTTTCATTCCAGTGGGAAAAATCACTGTTCAAAAGCCTTGAGACCTACATGCGATTCCCCTCCTATCCTTTTGCTTCACTTCATTGAGAGAAAAATCTATTGCTTGCTCTGTCATAGATCTTTTGTAACCCAGTAAAAATACTCCTTTGCTGTCACCCCTAAAGAATATAGTTTGCTTTTAGCTACTCCTAACTCAATAGAGATGTTAAAGGAAGCAGCTCCTTGACTGCTTCTCCTAACAACTTCATCCATATGCTCTTAACACATTGGGTTGCTTGAGTTAAACTAAGAGATGGACCTACCTAGATATTATTAGAACCTATATCACTAGCTCATAGTTTTACCAGAAATCCAGGAAGCTTCCAGTTCAAATAAATTTAACCTGGTCACCAGGACATTCTACCCCAGCAGTCTGGAAAAAAAGTTTGCTATACAAACAAGATTAATCACTGGCTTGAGAAGTACACAAGTTGTTTCTGGTCCCTGAACGACATACACAGCCCCATGAATGAAGATATCAAATGCAAAGTTGATTTTACAGAGATATCTTGTAACATGCCACAGCTAAATTCTTACAGTAATTTGAAAAAAAAAAAAAAAACTTAATCAATAACCAAAATTCTGCCAGAATTCCAAGTTTTTAGTTTCAATGACAACAAATTTGATATGTTAGGAAATAAATTGGTTCTAAACCAAATACTACAGCATTGTTTACTAAATGTAAATTTATTATCTTTGAGTAGTGCATCTAGACAGACAAGTAGAGAAGATAAATACTTTAGATCCATTAAGTCAGACATACTCTTTAGGAGCCACTATCATATCATAAGGGAATATGATTAAGGAAAATGAGGGCAAAAAAAGCCCACAACCATTTAAAATCTGTAAAAAATTTAAACTTTTAAAGTGTGACCAAAAAAAAAAAAGTTCTAAGCAGAACTGCTCATATTTTTCTCATTTCTTCTTTTATCTTATTAGTTAGGTAACAAGTAAGCAGGCCTGTTATACATAACTACCTTCACAGCTGTTCCTATTTTATACTGATAAATTCCCAATTAGAAGTGCTGCTAGAGCAAGTTTTAGTGAGGCTTTTAGGTCTGTGGTTGAGTTAATGCAACAAAGGCAAAACTGGGGAAGAAGAATATTGTAAAGATGTTGCTGTCCTTCTAAAATTCTGCTCCTCCTTATTCTGCTGGGCATAAAGAAAGTGAGTGGTTTTGGGGTTTTTTGTTTGTTTTTTGGGGTTTTTTTGCCTTTTTTTCTCCTCTCCTCTAAAAGTTAAGATAAAAGTATTATTGGTTTTGTTTTGGGGTGTTATGTCAATTTTGAATGACCTTAGTCTAGTAAGACTGACTACTTATTGTAGTGTTATTATTTTTTTCTAGATTTAGTGGGGTGGTTTTTTTTGGCTAATGTTCTCTTGATGTATTTCATAGGAGGTCTTAAAATAACAACCTACTGTGCTGTGGATAGGTGTAAGGAACTAATTCTGAAATAAGTTGTTACACTATGGAGTGTACTGTTTGCACTACTGTGTTTGGTTCTAGGTAGTTTGGATTTAATGAGGTAGGCTTTGTTTTTGTATTTTTTTTTTAAATAAAACATTTATGTGAGAACTGAATGTCAGCAAAGTGAAAAGTTGTTAAAAAGGTCTTGAAGGATAAATTGCTCTTAGCAGGCAGAGTCATTTCTTGCAGATTCTGTTTCTGTTCTGTATGTGGTAGGCTAAAGCAGCAGCTTTGAGCTGCTGCTTTTAATTGGTAGAATGGTATGTATAGGCTCTAAAAATGTAGGTTAAATGCCAGACTAAAACAAGGAGCAATGTCTTTTTTTGGCAGGCTAGTTGATGCTCTTTGATAAAACATTTTAATATTGCCTAATCATAGAGGTACTTATGTATGTATATTTATTTTTGTTTATTTTTTGCCTTTTGTTCAGAGATGTAAATTCTGGCCAAAAGGGCAATATTAGCATGGATATGCTAATAAACTGGATATGAAGAGTGCTTATAAAGTCTAATAAATATTCAATTTAAGTCACTTTAGTTGAAAAGCTCAAGCTTTTTGTAAGCCTTTCTTGGTGTAAGAAGGGATACGTGTAGCACTAGAAATGATAGATCTTGAAAGCTGCTGTTTTGGGGATTGGATGCAGCTGTGAAGTATTTAGTGGCTATTTATACTTATGTGTGTAACTTTTATAAAAAAAACATACTGAGGAAGCAGAGGAGATGATACTACTTAATTGTTCATGCATCTTGTTGTAAAATCTTGGAATATCTCTGGTGCTGGTAAGGATGAGGAAACTAAAGCTGCTGTAGCTGGCCCCTCATCTTTGTCCTCTGACTTTCTCATCTCTACCCTTCCCTGGTATTGGATCTTGATTAGACGACAGCAAATTCCATGTCCAGAACTTGCATGCCTTTCCACACTCTCCTGGTTAGTCTGCCTGGATTCTGGTATCAGTTTCTTTGGAAAACAAACTGCGTCATGACCCTGACAACTACATAATGCAACATAGTTTGTTCTTTGCATTCAGTACAGCATCTGGGACCAAGAAGATATAAGGTGAACAGATTAACGGTGCCATTTTTCCTTTAAGATGATAACTGGGACGTTGGTATTCAGGACCTCATCCTTAAATATTGTTGGTTTTGAGTCCTTCTGAACGGGAAAGTGAGAATAGCAAAAAAATTCAGAGTATTAAGTCACTTTTGAGTTTGAAAGTCAAGTGCTTTACCATGTCTCACACTAATAGTTGCCACTGTATCAACCAGCTTTGCGAAAGCAGTCATCTGTGAGCTATCTAACTTCAAAATTAACATGCTCTTAATTCCAAGGCAGACTTTACTTTCTTAGTTGGTAGAATGCTAGGTGCTTTGTACATACTGTATTCTCACGCTTGAATATTTAATTTCAGGAAAGCTAGGTTTCCACTTGCAAGTAGTCTGAAGTTTGCTTTACAATATGTGCTAGATTTTCTTTCGTTAGAAGACACTGAATATGCGATATAAAGGATGCTTATATTTCTATTTATGAGCAATATAGCATATTACTTATATCTTGAAACTAAAACATCATGCCTAAACAGTTAAAATAGTTCTTTCAAGTTAAATTAATTTTCTGGAAGATATTGATTGTCTTGATGCCACCTTTACTATGAACCTCAAAGCTGGTCTTGTACTATGACTTGCCTAGTGTCTGTATAGACATGCTGAGTCATAGCTCGGCTGTTCCTGGTTCTAACAGCTCAGTTTTACATATTTTCTTTTTTAAAAACAGAAAACCTGGATGGTAGTACAGTTCAATGAAAGACTTCTGCCTTCTGTAAATGACAAGAATGAACACATGGGGGAGAAACCTGAACACTCTTTAGCCTCAAGAGCAGTTAGTGAAAGGGCTTTCTTTCAAACGTAGAAATAAAGAACAAAGCTGAGAATGTAAGATGTGATATGCACTGTCTGCTTGAGAGCTGCTTTGGGAGAGGGAGGCGGATGCCGTTCAGTGGTGTGATCAGAGTAGCTATCTAGCAAACAATGACACTTTCTAAAATTTCCATGAAACACTGCACGCCATGATCAAAAGCAGGCAAGAAGGTATTCGAGTAAAAGCAGGGTGATCTGAGAATGGAATAAGTAATGCTTGGTCTAATGAATGCATAAAGAGCCACTGTTACACTGGTAAAGTCTAGAGCAGTATCAGAGTGAGAAAATGCAGCTCTTCTATTGTAAGAGGGAAGAGGAAGTGATTTAGTGTTTGGAAGTCTGCAGTGAGCTGCGAAGGTGGGCAAGGACTGGGACTTCTGTGACTGTGTTTGCTGTAGGCCTTGTCTAGCGCACACACTCCAAGCACAGCATCTCTGCCTTTCCTAAGCACCTACGTGTTCTCCTCTGCCACACCAGCACTGCACTGACTAAAACCAAATGACCACAGTTGTTCCTTGCAGCAAACTATAATGAACCAGAAGAGCTGGGAAGGTGAAAAAGTTGTCAAAATCTTCTCATATATAACACTGTGGTGTACAGTGGCAGGATATACTGTTGTGCACATGCCCAGACCTTAAAAGCATTGTGTTATTTAGACACTTTAATGCTAAAATTTAAGTATACTGGCTATTGCAGGGTTTCTGTGAGGTGACTTTACAGGAGTGTCTAAGGAAGGTACTATCTAGCTGTTGTATGCAAGGTTAGACTTGCAGCATGCTGTAAAGTTGCACCTAAGGGCAAAGCTCTCCTACAGGGAACAGGGAGGCAAATGTCTTTCTAGGTTTTGATAGATAACTTTTGGTGAGGAAACTTACAATGTTTTATTCTCGTGTGTAGAGCTCTTAAACTCTTCCTACGTGTATCTGTATTAAATGCCTGACTTCCTACTGTTGTATGTTTTAATGCTTTTTTTTTTTTTTCTTCTTAACTGAAGAACTGACCTGCACATCCAAATGTGAACTGTAAAACAAATGTATTTTAGTCCATCATGAAGGTACACTGGTCAATAAGTATTGACATTTTATAAATACAAGTGCAAGCAGCATTAGTTCTGGATATGTCTCCTTAATAGCATCTTTTTCTCTTTATTTTTTTAACCCCTCAGGCTGGATGTACAATGAAGATCTTGGAACAAGTAGCTATATAAGCTTGCTGAAGATGTCTGTTCCAAATCGGCGAACTTCTATTATTGTTAACCCTCCTCCACCTGAATACATAAATAACAAAAGTGGTGGCTGTCAAACAAACCAACTTCAGTACTTACAGAGGGTGGTCATGAAAGCCATGTGGAGACACAACTTTTCCTGGCCATTTCATCTGCCTGTAGATGCAGCAGCACTGAATCTTCCTGTAAGAATAATATCAATATTGTATTGAAGTAAAATACTACAATGTGAATTACTGTTTATTTAAAAGATGAAACTCTACAGATCATGGAATACTGCTTTTCACTTTTTTTTTTTTTTTTTTTTTTGTACAAGGATTTACAATTAGCTCATGTTATTTTCCAGTTACTGGAAGGTTATAAAAGTAGTAACTAGATAATATGGTTTAGGCCTACACAGAGTGTGCCCCTGCTTATTAGTGGCATCTTAAGGAAAGACAAGCATTATCTAGATATTTAAATGCATTATCTCTAAACATGTATCAAGAATGTTTATTTCCCTCCACCCCGGAAAAGTATCAGTATTTTGAAGTCAGTGAGTTTGTCCCAATATCACAGAGAAGTTGAGCTTGGAAGAGATCTCTGGATATGTAATCTGGTTCAGCATGAGAATGACTGCAGTCCACTGACCTCAAGGGTATGAGCCAAGCACACAGTGACACTTTGCTTCCTTCTGTAATTTTAATGGCATTACAGGGCCAAGTTCTTCAAGAAAACTGCTTTCTCTGGCTCATTTCAAATGCTGCACCTTTGTTCCTTTGCTTTCTGAACTAATATTGTTTTACACAAGTATCCCTAAAGAAGCAGTAAAAGTGCTTGATGCAGGAAACTTCAGCATTTCTCACTTTCCCTTTTTGAGTTTCTAGAGGTTAGATTTTTGTCCCTGCTTCATCTGGGAGCAAGGACACTCTCTCAAAACAGATCTCTATCTGAATCTGTTTCTCATGACAAACTCCCTTGGTCAGGTTCTTAAAAAGCCCTGTCAAGGTCGCTGTCTACCTGCACATCCCTCTATCTTAGAATGAACTGTCACTTAAGGTTAATATTAAAGGTCATGTCATTCAGCCAGAATAGTGGCAACAATTGCAGCTGGCCTCAGGACACTTCTGCCTCTTTGGATTTCTGAGGAAGCCACTTATGTTGCTAAATAATATGTATTTTAGTTTTAACCTTTCACAATTAACAAGAAAATTTCTGTTCTGTGACAAGGAGAGTAAATGGCTTTGCATTTGCTTTGCTTCTCTGTTCCAAGTGTTAGATGTAGAATGGACAAACTTGACTAGCTCTGTTTTCCTACTGGTGTTTTGAACTCATTTTTTGTACACTTATTATGTAATTAGTTTAGATTCACAAAAACAGCCTTTAAGGACAGCTTCTGAAGGCTTTTCATTAATTGGTGACGACTTCAGAAAGCTATTCTGTGTGTGCAAACTTTATAGTGGTGATATTAATGTTTGGCTTATTAAATTCACCAGTAGGAGTGAGCATTTAAAGCATTTAGCTTTAAACAATTCTACTAGGGTAATGCATTAGATTGTGATGCCTTTGAACAATCTTACTGCCTTGTTACTAGATATACAACATGGTAGATAAGTATTAAATCTGCACCTGGGAGAACCTGTTTTTTTTGGCCCTTATTAGTCAACAAGCAAGCAGCTATCTGTCTTCAGCTCTCTCCTCTTGTCCCGTTCTGTAAGATGCTATGTCAGGTAAGCTGCTTAGAGTTTAGCAAAGAAGTACATATACTTTTCATAAGTCCTATTATCAGTACAGCTAGTATAACTTGGGAGCGTACTGGAAAGAGTATATTCTTTAGCGCTTTAAACATTGTGGAGAAAGTTGTAGGAAAGGAGGAAATGCAAGGTTAAGAGTTCCTGAACACTTACTTTTATAGTACCTGTGACTACTGAAAAGTTTTCCTTCTAGCATAACAGTTTATCTTTTACAATTTAATTTTCCTAACTACATCTGTAACCACCTTCACATCCAAGTATTTACAGTATTTCTTGAATTATTTACACTATTTTATAACCACAGGATTATTACAGTATCATAAAGAAACCTATGGACTTGAGCACAATTAAAAAGCGGCTGGAACACAATTACTACACAAAAGCTGCAGAATGCATTGAGGACTTTAAAACCATGTTTTTGAACTGCTATACATATAACAAGGTATGTGAAATAGAATGGCATGCTCTTACCAATAAGCAACAATATTGAACAATACAAGCAGGCAGTTATTCCAGCTAGCACAAAATTTGTCAGTCTGATTTTTCAGAATGAAAAGTGCCAGTCACTGTGTCAGTGAGTCTGCTGTTCAGCACCTGAACACACAGGATGTTCTGAACAAGGATTCTGCTTGAAGTGTCTCTAGGTTTGTTAGGCAGCTTATGAACAGCAAAGTATAGTTGTTATACAAGTTCAAGGCTGACTATTGTGAATCTTTCTAACTTTCTCCAATAAGTCTGATGGACTGATCTAACCCAAAATGAGCTGCCTGCTGTGTTTGGATGCTTTTGGCTGCCTTTTAGCACTCTGAGCTTTAACATCTTTCTTTAGAACATGAAAAGGAGTATGCTCTGTCTTCTTCCTTTACTGGGAGAAATATGTGGACGTATGAAGAAGGAGGATTGTGCAAGGGGAGAAGTAGCTACTACTTTAAATTAAGAAGATGCTTGTAACTAAATGAATGGGGCTGGGGGGAGAAGGGGAAGGGCTTAGGTCCTGCTGTGATTCTGGTGACTTACTCCAATTGCTGGAGACTGAAAACTGGTTAGTAGAAAAAGCAAGCTTGCTCTTATAGCTTCCCCTGTACTCTGAACATGACTGACTGTATTTTACAGCCAGGTGATGACATTGTGTTTATGGCACAAGAACTTGAAAAAGTATTTTTGCAGAAGATAGCACAAATGCCACCAGAAGAAAGAATAGTGATCCTCAGCACAGGGAAGAGAAAAGGAAAGAAGGCAGAAGGTAGGGATGTTCCTACTGTTTTGATAGCAGAGTAGACCATTGTGAGCAAAGAAACACTTCTTGTTTTCCTGACCTTGGCCTTATAAGCAGATTTGTGCATGGAGTCTACTTCCCTGAAACAACCAACAGATTTCCATTTCAGAGAATGTCCTGCTTTTGCTTAGGGTTACATAATATTAGCTGATGGGTTTGAACAAGTATGAGAAATGAGCAGGATGATAGTTCTGAACAGCTACCTAACCTCTGTGCCGGAAAGAACCATCACACAGAGAAACACTAATCTGAACTGTCTCTACACCAATGAAATAGGTCTGCAATACGTCTCTGCAAGATCTGCAGGAGCACATAAGCTTGCTTAAAGCTTAACTGTGCTCGAACTCAAACCTTCTTTGAACCCAATGCTGCTTGGCCTTTTTGAGGTATCTGTAGAGAATGACTTATCCTCCTCTTGGCAAAGATCTTTCCCAACTTTCAGCATGATGTTTTTGATACTCCCTCAGAGTAAATTCATAACTTCCTTGAAGCAGGGTGTCTAGCTGATATCTTAATGGCCTTGAATGAGTAAGTGCAAAGCATATGCAATTGCTTTGCTGTATACAATGCTGGTATTTGTTTAGCTTAGGGAGGAGGGGAAGAATACTCAGATAATTGCTTGATTTAATCATGGAAAAATTAATTACAATATTTAGAGCATAACTGGATTTTTTAAATGACAAAACAGAAATTCAGGAGCCCAACCCTGGAACTTCTAAACAAAACATGATTCGGGAACAAGCTGAAAGCAGTGAGCAGCCTGCAGTGATGACTCGAGAACTCCAGCAGGTCACACTAGCTCCTCTGTCTGCAGCTCACCTGCCTGCTCTGATGCCAGCTGCAGTGCCTATAACAAAAGTAAGTTACCTCATAATTTTTTTTTTTGTATTAAGATGACTGTTCCAAGCACTTAATGGTAAAAACCATAGGAGCCAAGTATACTGCAATATCTTTTCAAAACTTCTATTGAGATAGTAAAAGATTTGTTTTAGATATTCTGGATTCCTGCTAAATACTGGGGCACTACTACTGATTCTACTAAGGCAGCAGAGTTGGTGTTGATCATTTGGCATCTGTTTTATTTAAAAAAAAAAAAAAGGTGGTTTAAAGATGTTGATCATAAAGAAACAAAGTGAATTTCAAGGTGGTCATTCTTGATGTGTATTCCTACACTTCTAAATGTTTCACATAGATGAAGACAGAGCCCTTTCATTGAGGGTTTGGCAATGTTTTTAACAATAAAACAAAGCTTTTTGTAAGATCTAATTAACTTAGGCTTTTCACTGTCAGTCAATTGCTTGGTTGCCAAAAATAACATGCTTACTTAAACACTATATAAGTAGTCTAAAAGCTTTTTGTAACTCACAAATATTGGTAAACACCTGAAATCCAAATTGCACATGAATACATCCATTTTTCATTGGTTTAGTTTTGTTTGCACTCTTCCAATTATGAAGACATGTGCCAGTCTCTTCCAGTAAATACTGTCCCTTTAATGAAGGGTGAAGCACTGAGGAAAAGCATGTCTATTCTAAACAAAATGTGACCCAAACTAAAGAAAACAAAGATAAATCTTATGTGTAAGGCCTGCAACCACACCTAAACTGATTTGCAGTCACTTTTTCTGTGCTTTCCCCCAACACTAATCTTGTGCCAACTTTATAACCTACCAGCTTCCTGGAATCTTCTCATGGCTTAAAAATGGACCACAGCCTGACCTAGAGTACACTCTGTTCTCATCTTTACCAATCAGTGCCAAGTTCTGTCTTTAAATGTGACACTATGTAGACTTTCAGACTTCAGTTAAAAAATTCGATTTTTAGGAGCTGTAGAAGTTGAGATATTTTCTTAGAATTTTTTGCTTAGTTTCAAAGCTGTCTATTCTCTCACTGTTCTGGATACCTGTGTTCTAAATAACTGTAAAATCATTTTCTAGGCTAAAAAAGGTGTGAAAAGGAAGGCTGACACTACAACTCCTACTACTTCAGTATTCACAGAAAGTGAATCTTCTGCAACATTTAGAGGAAAAAAAGCTGTTAAAACTTGCAGAGGAGAAAATGAATGTACGGTACCAAGTAAGCTTCTGAAGAAGGCTTTTCCAGATTCCCAACAGTCACGTAAAATTTGTAAAAAGGTTCGGTTATCAAAACAGCTAAAACACTGTAATGAGATACTTAAAGAAATGTTTTCCAAGAAACATGCAGCATATGCATGGCCTTTTTTAAAACCTGTGGATATTGAATCCTCCATTGCTGAGAAACAGGGGACCACTAAATGCCCTATAGACCTGAGAACCATTAAAGTAAGTATGTTTTGTAGGGAATTGGGATATGTATGTTTGCTTCAATAGCTTCTGTTCTGAGTGGATTAAAATATTGTTAACTGAAAAGGCATCGGGAAAGCTGCTTCTCATTTGAAAGGGTTAATGGGCACAGAACCTGTACACACTTTTTCGTCAGTTCTAAATTGCAGCTTACTGAAGAAAATGTCTTTTGAGCCAGTGAGGCTCTGTGCACAGTGGCTAATTTATTTGTTGAACATTTGTTGAACATGTTTAATAAAAGCACTAACAGGAATTACCCTCCTGTATGAACCACTTCTAAGCAAGCTGCTTTCAAAATGTGTTTATTATCTTTCAGTCTGCCTGCAAAATGCTATTCTTCCATTTTAAACCACAAGGTAGTTCTGTGGCGTCAACTTGTGCTCCAGTCAGAATATCATTATCTTTGAAGGGAACTTTAAAGCACCAAATATTTAAAAGCTGCTTTCAGTGTTTCTGTAAAAAGGGATCTTTCTAGTTGGAGATATCAGTGGCCAGTGTTCTGCAAATAGTGGGCATATCTGTCTTGTGTTGAACTACTTAACCAAAGTAAGACCTAATATTGGGAATAGAGCTGAATTTCAATAGTTGATTGAAAGAGCTTAAAAACTGCTTGCACAGTACAAAGGCCACTACCAACTTCCAGCCAATTATTTTTACTCCAAAAGTAGTTAGAGAAGGCTTTGTAGATATATACCTAGAATCAAGCAAGTGGCTAGATAAAATCAATGCTGAAAATAAAACCTGACCAGATAAAATCAGAACTGCACAAAATCACAGAATGGTTGTGGTTAGAAGGGACTTATGGATCATTTAATGCAACCCTCCTGCTAAAGCAGGAACACCTGTGGCACAGGACTGCAACCAGGTGGGCTCTTAGTATCTCTAAAGAAGGTGGCTCTGCAACTGTTCTGGGCAGCCTGTTCCAGTGCTGTCACTCCTTTTTGTCTTGATATGAAAGAGCTGAAAAATAGTACTAGAGCAAGTGTAGTTCATCAGCTGTTCAAAAGGGGAAATTCTAGTATTTTGTTACAGTGAAGTCTTTGTGATGGCTGTTTTTTTTTTATTTATTTTATTTTTTATTTTTTATTTCCTATGCTGAGGCAAGCCGCTTTTGATGCTTAATGTTAATTCTTGTTCCTTCTTTATTGTCCTGCTGGTTCATGGTGATATGCTCTAGCTCTAAAGTTAGAAGCCCTAAATATGCCCTCATTTTCTTTCCTCATAGAAGAAAATGGATAACTCTGAATATAAAGATACACAAGAATTTGCCACAGATGTTAGATTAATGTTTATGAGCTGCTACAAACATAATTCTCCAGACCATGAAGTAGTTGCTATGGCAAGAAAGCTTCAGGTGAGTTTTCACACAGGCCAGACTGAAAACAAGGTAGCAGATTCCCTTGTGATCATATGCCCTGATGCAGCATCTATTGATGTTGCTAACTATGATATCACTTGTTTTCCAAAGCTACGCAGCAAGGGCTTCATAACATTCCTAAATCTGAAAGAAAGTGCTAATCTCTTTACTATTCCTGAACTTTTCCTCTTTTCAGGATGTTTTTGAGATGCATTTTGCCAAAATTCCTGATGAGCCCGTTGCAAGTGTTTCTCCATCACAGCCCACAAGAGAAATAACAAAGACTTATTCCAGTGAGAGCAGCAGTGATGAATCTTCAGTAGAAAAATCATCTGAGGACTCTGAAAATGAGCAAGCAATGCACCTGGCCAAGCTTCAGGAGCAAGTAAGCAATAGCACTCAGAAGTGCCTGACAGCTGTAACCTGTCTCTGGTAGCGCCACTTGTAGTTCTCCATCCTCACACTTAGTATCAAAGGTCAGTATTTTAAAAATGCAATGTTCTGGACTTTTTTAACACAGCTTTGTTTTCTGAAGGAAGCATCTCCAAACTTCATCTACAAGTGAACATTCTGTTAGCAAATACAAACTATTTATCTACTCTACTGAGTTTAAACAAGTTTGTGTCAGCTTCTTCTCCAGAACTGCGTTAGTTGCTCCAACTAGCCATTTCATATTGCACAATATATTGGATTTATGGGCTGAAGATGTAGAAGACAAGTCCCACTAGCCTGGTTCAGTAATTTTTAAGGCATAATTCAATAAAGCATTTACACTTTCCAAATGCCTGAAATTAGAGAAGGTTGTTGGACACTCCTATAGTGATTCTAGTGTTTTTTTATCTTCATAGGATGTTAAAAGACATATGCTGAGAACTACTGTTAAACACCTGCTTAAAATATGTAGCCTTGCATCTTCAGAAGACCTAGTCTGCCTGTGACTAATGTATATGACAGTAAGATGCTTGGAAAACAGGCATTCTATTAATAATCATTCAGATGCCATAAATGTCCTGTGATACTAAGACTTGTTTGTTTCTGTTACACTACCTAAGACTCAGAGGTTTTTTTGTCATTGCTTTAAACAGCTTAAAGCTATGTACCAGCAGTTGCAGGCTCTGACAAGAACATCCTTACCTAGATTGAGAAAGAAAAAAGGGAAGACAGAGAGAGAAAAAAAGAGGAACAAGGAAAAAGCCAAAATAAAAAGCCTGATCCAGAGGAAGAAAAAGCTAAAACACAAGAAGAAATCTAAGCAAAAGCTGTCTTTAAACATGTAAGTGTGGGGGGACTTGTATGGGTGCCAAATTAATTCAAATTGCTCTTACCACAGTAAACTTTTTCTCCCAGTCAATCAAAGAAATCCATGCAGCACATCTTGTTGGCACATAAGTCAGAAGATGAAGATGGTGCCAAGCCTATGAATTATGATGAAAAAAGGCAGCTGAGTTTGGACATAAATAAACTCCCTGGAGATAAGCTTGGAAAAGTAGTCCATATAATACAGTCAAGAGAACCTTCACTGAGGAACTCTAACCCTGACGAGATAGAAATAGACTTTGAAACTTTAAAAGCTTCAACACTCAGAGAATTAGAGAAGTATGTGGCAGCTTGTTTGAAAAAGAAACCAAAAAAGCAACATGGTATGTATGTAGTGTAAAGGATGCCTGAAAATGTAGATTTGCTCTGTTTGGCTGTGTTAACTTCTATTTCACATGCAGCTAGAAAAACAACAAAATCGAAAGAACAAATTAATTTTGAGAAGAAACAAGAGCTAGAGAAGAGACTACTGGATGTCAATGGTCAACTAAACCCAAAGAAGCAGAGCTTCAAATGTAATGTGGATCTTTCTCTTTGTAATTTGGGATACCAACATCTTAAAATGGGATTGTCTTGGGCCTGTGTGTGTACTTTCTTGTTTGTTTTTGGAGAGGGGGGTTGTTATCCGTTCAGGGATTTCTCCTCAGCATGTTTAAGCCAAGCTTCCCCTGCTAGCCTCTAGACTTCTTGGTATGTTAACTTGGGCACTAGCAGCAACTTGTCCTGCCTAAAGCCTTTTCCTTAGGCTTGAGACTAACTCTTTATTAAAAGGATAAATGATAGCTCTGTCACTTCTGTAGTATGATAAAAGCTGTAAGGATGAGAGTGGTGAAGGTGTAACCTCATGTGGCATCCTCCATCTGATAGCCAATAGCTAGTAGAGGCATCAGGCCCAGTTGAGGAATGATACTCCATCACTAATCCTGTTTTTCTGGATTAGACAGTCAAAACCTGGCTAGGTATTTTTCAAGCACTGTTTCTCTACCACCCCCACACTGTGGACTGAATGTATATGCTTGGTTTGAAATTTATTTTCTGGGACTTACAGAAACCGAAGAATAACTAACTTTGCTCATATGCAGTAGTAACAATTCTGCATCACTGACAGATCTGCTGCCTTCCTTTAGGCTTAAGGAACTGCACTAGGAAATGCAACGTGGTTGTCCAGGCTTTTCAGTGGCAAGAACAGCAGTAAAGCACATGCCTGACCAAATCCATACTTACTGATAGTTCTTAGTCATGGACAGATCAGTGCAGCTAATGCTACTGTTACAGGTTGAGATGTTCATTGAACTCCTGAGTGCTATTTTTGCCCTTTATTGAATATCTAATAAGTTCCTATGTAAAACAACTAAAAGCAGCCCTTCAAAATGTAGGCTGACATCAAGCATGAGCTCAGGCAAGTCTGTCTCGTGTACATGGTGGCTGGAAAACATCCCAGAAAGAAAAGCTGTAAGTGGCAGATAAACCAATTGCTATTAATGTTGGAGAGGGAAAGCAGGCTAGGGAATCTTTACTGTTAGTACTTAGCCTACAGCCTTTCTTGAAAACGAGAAGGCATGTTTAAGCAATTTGCGTCCAGGGAAACAGCTATACTTGTGGCTTTGCATTTTTCAAAACCTCACCAGAGCAACACATTTAAAGAACTGTTTTTGACTGCACAATCACTGTAAATTTGAAGTTAAATCAGCCCTGCAGAGGCAAAATAGTCAGATGGTGGGGAGGTGGCAAAAGATGACATCCTACAGTACATATGGCTTGGGAAAGAAAAGAGCTGGCTATAGACAAACTTCAGCGTGCAAGTCTGGGAGTGGCAACAAGTACAGGAAAAAAAAATGCTTAGCAGCTGCAAGACTTCTGGCTAAAACTGTGCTTGACCTGGTCTGAAGGCGACTCACATCCTAATTTACCTTGGTACTGTATGTGTGGGTTCCTCTTTGGATTTTTCACTCATACAGCTGTCTTGTAGGTGGTAAATCTCCCTCTATGAAAGTCTTAAATGTTTAATTGAGCTAAATGGATTGTGGATGGGGGCATGGCATAAATCTACAAGCGATATGGCAGCACAGCCCTCCACTGGGTACCTCACTACTGAGTATTCTGGGTCTGTGTGTGTTGTGCTGCATTTGTAGTGGTGTGGTTTTTTTTTTTTTTTTTTCCCTCCTCCTTGCAGTTGAAAATAATGCTGAGCCCTGTATCGGACCTAGCCGCCTGAGTTACAGCAGCAACAGCAGCAGCTCCTCGGACTCCGGCAGCAGCACTAGCAGCGCTTGCAGCTCCTCAGACAGTAGCGACTCCGAATCGGGTTAGATAACCTCCTCGTGGCTGTGCGGGCAAACCTCTGCCCTGTGACTTGCTATGCCTGCTTGTTCCCAGTGCTTACTGAGCATTTTAGCCATCCTTCTAGGCTTGCTTTATGCTAAGGCCAAACTTCAGTGCTATTAAAAGTCTTAATTGCAATGTTATACCCCTGTTCATGTTTTTTTTTTTTTTTTTAATTAATGATGAAATATCTGCTTGCTTTAATTTATCAGTGAGCAACTTAGAAAAAAATCTGCTAGTAAGAGATCTGTGTACCTATTCTGGAAATTTGGCTATCAGCCTATAGCTTATCTATGTCTTCATAATTTTGAAATGTATTTTTTTAATCTTCTGGTTTGTGATGTGAAGGAAGCATTAAACATTATTAAACTTATTAAACTTTTTTTTTTTCTCCCAGAAAGGAATTATCAGGAAAGTTTTAGATGAGATTCTTTTCAAAATAGTTGAGACTTACATGTATAAAACCCCAACCTGATTCCATGAGATTTTGGAAGTTACAGCTCAGATGGTGGAAAAGGTCTGGTGGGATGCTACAAATAGCTATAAACTCTATCCTCAAATTTAGGCTATTTAAGGTGTCAAGCTTGTTCAGGGACATTATAGCGCTTCCAAATACCAGCCTTCTTCACACAGAAGCTTTTGTCCTTCTGGGACATGATATATCTGCTAAGTGTGAGGGCTACAATTTAGATATGTCTGAGAGAACAGTCTAAGGTGAGATGATTTCTGTGACTGTTTGTAGTACAGGGAAGCCATCACAGAAACATTCTTGGTAGCAAAGATCTTGATCCTGTGACAACCTGCAACTGGCCTCTTTGTATAGCCTTGAAGCAGATCTCTACATACATCAAGCTCAACCAGTCTAAGTATTCAGAATAATGTTCCTTTCTCTGGGAGATTTGATGCTCTAGGTACAACTGTAACTCACACAGTATATGTGTGAAAAAAGCAGCATATGATTTGTTTTTTTTTCCCCTTCTACCTCACTCTGCCCACCTTGCTTTATTTGCATTTACAGAAACATGCTCAAAACAGAACAGAAGCAGGCAGAGTTGTCCACTTTCAATGGAACAAGTTAAGGTAAACTGATTGGGATGGATAAAAAGTGTTTGCCCTAACCTAAGTTTTATTAAATACAGTAGTATTGGAAATGACAGAAGCTGTTTTGTTGCTAGGGAGTAATGAATGTAGCTTGAACACTGTGCTGTATGGGATGCATGGAGATGTGAAATCTGCTCCTTGTTCCAAGTAGCTTAAGTAGCTGTGCAGACAGTGGGCTGGGAGAACTCCTGAGGTTCTCGCCTCTTCCAGATATCCTGGTAGTTTAGTGTTGGGCGAAGCAGGGAAAACACAAGAGGCAAATGTTATTTGGTCATTTCTGTACCCCCTTTTCTGAAAGCTGTACAAACACTACTCAATCACCTTTTCTCTAACTATGGTATTATAAGCAACAGCAAAGTATTATGTAAAACTAGGGCTTAATGCTTCTAATGTCAAACTGTTTGACTCACTATATTCACAGGTGAGTGTTATTTCTTGCTAGAGCTCGCTCTCCTTCTTACATTGCTCTTAGTTAGCAGGGATAGAGACATCAGACTTCCAAGCAGTATTACAGCACAGCCTTCATTATTTCAGTAGACTAATTTTGTTTTAAATGAAAAAGTATTAAAAATTTACCCTGATAGAGGAAACTAGACTGTAAGCTTAACTTACTATCTCTATTTGGCAGCTCCTTGGGCATCTTTATAAACTCCAGCTGAGGAGATGAAGACACAAGATGTAGTTTTGCTAAAAAGTTCAGTCTCTGCAATGACAGAACAACAAAAACTTGAAACAGATATAGGAGTTAAGCTTCAGTTCGGTCAGCTATACCAAACCCTTGCTTCCTATCAGCATCAAGCATAAAACCTCAGAACAAAATGCAGTGTGATGTTTTGATTGAATTCTGTCTACCAAGGAAGTGCATTTTACCTTGCGGGGTTTTGTCTACTCATCTAAGCTCCTAACAATGTGCTAGTCTTACAGCACAAGTTCTGTAGTGGAAATAGTGGTTGAGTAGAGGGATGGGATTAAACTAGTATTTGAAAAAGAGAGACTATATTGCTGAAATTTCTTTCCAGAGAATGCCGTTGTCTTTACAGGGGATGTACTGCAATGCTGCTCCACAGTTGCAGTCTTCACCACGTCTTACTCGTAGCTTGCCCAATGAAGGATCATCTGAAACAAAGCAGCCATCTCCCAATGTACTGCAGAGGTTTCAGACATTACAGAGTAGGTCATTCAAATCACCAGAACAAAATACACAGTTTCCCTCAGGTAAAATCATTATGTCAAGGAACATAGTTATTTTCCAGTGAAGGAAAGAAGGGCTGGGAAAACTGTTGATGTTGCCCAAGGAACTTATCTTGAGGTTTTTGATTGTTATCTGGTTGGTAATGTTGAAGTCTCTCGCAAAGGTCTCTTGTGCCTTTTAAAAAGGCATGACTGTAAATATGAAAAGTGTAAACACACCAAAGATTAGTTGGGATTTTAGATTACTGGGGCAGTTTTTGTAGAACAGAATAGCATTAAAACAGCACTGCTCCTGCTCACTCAGTAAAGGGAGGCAGCAACTAGAGAGGAAATGGAGAGTTTCTTGATGAATCTAGGGCCGAAGTTAAGACATTTAAACCCACTCCAACCACCCTGAAGTCATGGTCTAGAATACCTATTTGCTGAATTTAAGGCTTGCTACCCTAAACCTTCTGATCTGCCCACTGTTATCTAGACATACATCAAATACAAATTGCTTAAAAACATGATCAAGAAGTAGCCATTTTTTTTATCTTCTCTCCTGTATTATAAAATGTCTACTATCTTTAGATTCTAAGAGTTAGTGGTAGAAGATAGCTTGAGGTGGTAGCTGACTAACTATTTGTGAACTTAATTAGGAGACTTACTTTTAATTAGTAAGTCTAGCAGAGCTAGGATACATATCTTCATATCTAGTTACTCTGTAGTTTTAAATATTAACCTAATTGAGATGTTGTAGGACTGTCCTCTGTCTGATAGAAATCATCATCTCCCTTCTTTCCTAGGTATAATCACAGCTCCACCTGCTCTGCATGACAGTCCAGTCCAGCAAATGCTTCAGACTACTCAAAGGACAAATCAGCCTCTTGCCACCCCATGCACTCACACTCTGCTAGAGGTGAATGCAGAGTTCTGTAATGGATTCATCTTCAGTAAATTGTGTTTCCCCCCTCCCCCCGCCCCCCCCCAAGTATATACTTGCTCCTTTAAGTATGATCTGATACTGTAGCACTCTTGGCTTGACCCAGACCCAATGAAGGCCACTCCAGGTTTATAGCAAATCTCTTGTCTAAAACTCTACTAACAAAGTGATCCTGTTGACCCCTTAATAGGGTAAGAACCCATTCCCTGTTGGCCACTACACAAGCGAAGAGTTTGGCTGAGGAATATATGTTTATAATGCAATATGTTTCTTTTCCCTCCAGTGCTATAGCTTAGATTTTTGTAAGCCTTGCAGAAATATATGCCTGTTCTAAGTCTGTCTTCTTGCTGCTATATAAGAAGAAACAACATTTTAAGCACTTTAAGGATATTTTGAAATCTAATTTCCCTTCTAGGTATCTGATACAACTTCCCAGATAGATGTTACTCACTGCACTAAGCAAGCTGAGAAAACAGTAATAAATCCAGACAAATCAAGTAAACTTCAAAACAACAGTGATGACTTATGGATTTTGAAGCAGCAGTTCTGTCAAGAAAAAAGTATGTACTGTCATTAAAAAAAAGTGTAACTGAGATCAGGGGTATAAAGTTAGAAAGCACATGTAAACCTCCCTTAATGTACAAGTGTTCAGCATTTTATTTAATAAGTTTGGAAAATATGGTGTAGGGAGCACTTTTTGCATTTATTCTTCCTTTTTTCTTAAGTCTTTGCTGCTTTTTTTTTGTTTTAATATAAAGCTAAATAGACACTTTGTTCTTGCTCCGTGTTAAGACTGTAGAGCAATTTTTTAATTATTATTTTTATTTAAGGACTTAATTTTCTGAGTTTAAGATTAGGAATAAGTAACCTAGTCTTTTATGTAGAACTTGACTAGGCTTTAAATCATCTTATGCAGAAGCTCCATGGCACTCTTTCCTTTGAAAGATTGTTTTGTGTGCATTGACTTACCTCCCTGGGCTTTTGGAGGTGATGGAGATCTGCCAGAGTAAAGGAATGTCAAATAACTCTTTGGCACATAACAAACTGATAAAACTCACTGATCTTGGAATTAACACAATAAAGAAAGTTAAGTGGCTAAGGCACTGCATACTTCTGTTACACTGTGGTATTTCAGGAAGTCACCGTGCATGAGATACTCATCTAAAACGGGTCGCAGGAAATGTCAATGACACATGTAGAATAGTGCAGATACTAGACTAAAAAGCTGCCTGAAAGCCAAGTTCCATACAGGAATGTGTATTTAAATATGAAGACTTATAAGATGGAGATTGATCATCTATGCTGCTACGGGCCTACTTAGTAGAAACTATACATGTCTAGAAACACATAGCTTCTAGAAGAAAAGAACCAAATGGTGTGGACATGATTTTTTCTTTTTAACTCTCCCTTTCCAAATTTCCTGCATATGGTTGAGCAGGGGATGAAATATGCTTCTGAAAACTTGACTAAGCTTAAATCTTATCACTTAACTGTTGTCAAAGAATATTGCTGGATAACAAAGGGTTGTATTAAATCAACTCTAAAAGTGGAGACTTAGTCTTCTACTGCTTTTTTTAGTATTTGTGTGCTCTTAACATGCTTATATGTACATAGTCCTGATCCCTTTTTTAGGATCTTAGCAGATGGAACTGGTACCTGTTTTCTAGGAACTAGGCAACTATCTTAACTAGCAATGTTTTGGGGTCTTCTGCCATTTTAACTTTCTGCACTGTAAACCGGATGACTAACTGTATCAATATCCTAGTGTTCTCTGAGGATGTTAAAGGACTAGGAAAATTACTAGGCGTTCAAAATAATTGTTTAATATTTGTAAGGGAGGGGAAAAAAAAGCTAGCTATTGGAAAAGCTCTCTCCTTTCTATACTTGTTTACTGTTTAGCCTCTATTCCTAATAATTTTCATCATTTAGTTTGTACTGCCCTGCTATGCCTCAAATTCTGTGCGGAGAAAAGTAGGGGAACTCTCTAATGATGATTCTGCCTTGGAGCAACTGAGCTTCAGCATTATGTTACGTAACACTGTTTTGTGAGTGCTCTTGTCTGCTCCCTTCCACGACACAGCGCTGCTCGGCTGTGCCCTGGCAGCGCTCAGCATTATCCCAGGAGGGTCCTGCTATTGTTAGTTCCTCCTGTGGAAAACTGGAAGGAGAAAGGAACAAACTTGTGGGGTTGCTTGGTTTGTTTTTTCGTTTATTTGTTTTAAACAACAATATGAAAAAACTGCTAGCCTGGAACTGTTGTATAGTCACAAATCTGTTGTTAACTGGAGAGTAGTTAGTGTTACATGTATCTATTTAGAGCAAATCAGGGGAACTAACTCTAATGTGGTCTGGATACTTAAATCATCATTAATTTTGTAAAGAATTCTACTATCTTAGGCATTTTTATGAGGTTTCCCATCTCTAAAATAGGAGCTTTTTGATTTTAAGCTCATGATACCTCAGATACTATGGGTACAGGCTTGGTGCTGCATATCACTGAACTCAGCAGTGCCTTGTTAAGAAGCTTAATTTGTGAAATAACCTGGTAATCACAAACTTTCTTTAAGAAATGCATTTTTTAAAATTTATTTATTTATTTTTGTCTTAAAGGCTTTAAAGCAATTTTCTTACGTAATAGTAAGGCTTGCAGCATATCAGAACCGTTCATCTGTATTTAGTGTTATCAAAAGAGTAATTCTGGTTTGCCTGGCTTTCCTCATCCTTCACAATAAATGGAGCACAACACAAAGTATTTATGCATCCTGTAGGCTAGTAGAAGTGTAGTGCTGAGCTTTTACTGGCTGACCTACTTGTCTAAAAAAGCAGAAATAGGCAGTGTGTAGAGCTTTAGGCAGCACGAGTTTACGTGATGAATGAGATCAGTTAGTGAACACTGCTGGAATCAAAATGGAAGTGCGTGGGGTGGGAAGGAGACAGGAGGTAAGATACAAGGTGCTGCAGTCAAGGACTTTCTGCCAAAATGAATTGGATGTTTTGCTGGGAGACCTCTAAGAACCGCATGTTAATTTCTCAGCTAGATTTATTTAACTTAATTTCTTTACCCATCTCAAATTGGAAAGAAACTTTTCAGTTTGGTCTGAGCTAGGAAATGTACCTGCATTTGGGACTATTTTTGCCTTTAAAAATAAATAAATAAATACAATAACCCAGTAGTGCAAAACTTTAAGCTAGTTTCTAGAATGGCTAAATTTATCACTTAAATTTGAGGTAACAATCTATAAAACTCAGCATCACCAGTTTTTTATTTTGCGCTCCCCCACTTCTCTCCTTCCATTAGGTCATTCTGACACATCTACCACTGCTAAAAACCCATTAGAGCCAGAATCCCAGGTTCTTCCTAAAAAGGTAAGAGTATTAACCAAGTCCTGTTGAGGAAAAGAATCTGGATATATGCCTGTAAGGATCAGAAGCTCCCTACCATGGATGGTTCTCTATAAATCCCATCTCTTGTGACTTTAATGCGTAGTATCTGATTGGTCGTGGATATTGTCATAATCTGTACAGCTCTTCCTCTTATTTGTAGTGCTAAACAAACAAAAATATCTCTGAAATCTAATGACAAATTTGTCCAGTCTGAATTAAAGTGCTTCTATGATTTTTCTTAGGGTATTTAGCTTTCAGAAAGCTATTAACTTCAAGTCAAGTCCAAAAACATACATTTCCTTCATATGTTTGGAACAAGTTCCACGGATTGCCTTTTCTCCCTTGGTCAAGTTCCCAAAGCATTAGAATTTCTGCTAGAAAACTGGTCCTATTCAAGAATACGAGTTTTACGATGTTCTGCAAAGCAAGGTCTAATAGGACAAAAGAGTATTTAAAACAAGACTCACAAGCCTACTATAAAACTCTTGTTGTATAAGGAATATTCATAAAAATAGGAATTTTCGGGATTCAAATATTGTCAATGCTCCTTGCGTGAGCGTAGTTTTGTGAGTTCTTGCTTTCAGGATTCATAGAATGGGTAGATGGGTCCTTGGAGAAAAGATACTGCGTGAAAAATAATAGCTGTAAATGCTAATAAGGGAAAAACTTTTTTTCCTAAGTTATCTCAAACCTGATGAGAAAACATATAGAAGTCTGGTTGGATTGCTGTATTTGCACTAATTTTCTATTGAAATAAAAAAGTTTCGTTGCAGATATTCTTAGGTAGATCCAGCTAATGTACTAGTGTAAGAACTAAACGTACAATGGATGAGGGAGAAAAAAAGAAACCTTAATTGTTGCACTATATGTATTTTTTTCTTTAGGACACAGGAAGTAAGAATATAGATTCCTGGGTAAGCTTATGTAAAACGATGATGCTTCCAGCTCCAATAAAAACATCTGCTGAGAGCTTCAAACAGTTCAGGAAAGCAGCACTAGAGAAGAGGAGTGAGCAAGCCCAGGAGTCAACAAGGCCCCTGGTGCAAGCTGAAAGGGAACTGCAAAACCTTCCTCAAGGAAAACAGAGGTTTGTAACCACATATGTATAAACATTACTCTGATTTTTGCCTACTTCAATTATGTGCAGGGTCTGCCATCTGGATAGTTAAATGACTTTCTGGATTTGCTTCTGCTTATAAACAACAACAAAAATCACCTCAGGCTGATTAACTGATGCCATTATAATTCTTTAACGCTTATGTATCCTTGTGTATGACGTGAGGCACAGCCAGCTTTACCAACTGACAATGCTATTATTCAAAGTTGTATAATAAATATGGCTGTAAGGGATAGTGTCACAGTTGAAGAAGCATCTGGCTAGCGACAGTAGCTGTGCGGGAGCACTGATGTGATGCTTCATCTTTCAACCTCTACGAAAGTAAATTTACTAATACAACTCTGTTCCAGTAATCACTGGCTGAAAAATACTTACGGTATCTGCTATGTATTCTACTTGATTAGACAAAAAAAAAGAGGGAAAAGTAACAGTTTTTGAGTTAATAAATATCTTTAGCATGTGTTGCTTGCGCTCAAAAAGATTGTTACTGGTTGGCTAGCTATTCAGAAATGAGTAATCAGATTAGGCAATAGCCATATGTCAGATACCTACTTGAAGGACATGGAAAAAAAGGCTGTGGAACTCTACTACAGTTGTTCAGTGTCCTCTGTGCAGCCATAAAGACATTTGGTAGGCTATTGCCTTGGTATTCATCACCACTAACTTGTAGCTGCTACTAGAATACCTGTTTTAGTGGGTACCCACATCCCTAGTCTGACGTCTATTATTAAGCTGAGTGGTATAAGTAACTGCCTGCTAATTGCTGCAGAATAGCCTGGAGAGCTGTGTGCTACCTTCTTGAAACTCAGCTTTCAGAAATATTTTGTCCTTAGGTACTTTTTGTATCATCCGTTTAGTCCTGTAAAAGTTACGTCTAAGGTTGGTGGCTCAAATCTTTTGCTCTGTTATCCCAACACTGGTGTCTCAGAATTGCTCACTTGTTTGGAGCGTGTTAACTTAATAACTAGAGTATTTAAGAAAGGCTTAGAGAATAAAGAACTTACTTGTTCTTTATTCAGAGAGTACAGCAAAGAAGGAGGGCACCTTCAGTTTCACTATTAGTTTCCGTGAGAAGGAAATTCATCCAGGCCCGGGAGCTGCATGCACAGTATCCGTCTATCCAAGACACAGAAAAACATTAAGACCTCTGAGCAACTGTTAGACTTCCTGCAAGGATGAAAGTCCTGCACAGTATCTCTAAATTCTACAGAATTCCAGTTTTAGGAAACCTGTTGTTTCATATTCGGGATGTTTAATCTCGGATACTGCAATACATGCAAGGAATATTGGCTCTTGAGGTTTTGTTTAAAGTCCTCCCTCCCAGAGGAACCCACGTGTACTTGAAGAGGCACCTTGCATCAGCACTCCCTCACTGCAACTTGTTAGAGATTATAGAGCAACTTGTGCCTAAATCTGCAAAAGCCAAGTCTCAGCGGACCGCACCGATGCTTCCCCTCCTCACCAACATGTAACTAGTGTGTCGTCCGTTCTAGGCGGCTGTCAAAGCTAATGGCTCTCCTGACTTTTCTTTTTTATGGCGTGATAGTTGCTCTTTGCTCTCTTTTACATCTTCTATAAATATTTCTCTGTAAGCCCCTAAATGGTAATGATTGGTGGATGAGACTACTTTCTGTTAAGACAACGTCTGCATCATCATCTAATGTAAGGGAAACATCTGTGGAACAAATTGTTTGAGATGCTTGCCTGAAATTTGTAAAGTCTAACTCAAAGTGCTAGTTGAAGAGGCAGAAGATTGATATAAAACATCACTGGCCAAGGAAGTACTAGTAACTTAAGTGTACGCATCTTGCAAGAAGTAGGATTTCATCTAAGTTATGTGCAGCACACAAATCCTACGTGTTCCATAGAATGGAACATAGAGAACCTCATCTTCCTGCAGTGTAAAACCCTATGCATGTACTTCTTGCACAGGAGTTGACATATAAAATGGCATCACACTTTAAATATTATGTGCTGATTTCTGCTGAATTCCCTTCAAGTGCAAATGTTTGTTATGAAAAAAAAAGATCAATTTTTACCCTCTACTTTTTTAAGGGGCCACGAAGGGGCAGGATTGGAAGCCATGGCAGCCAAAGAGTCAGACACCCAAAAAGGAGAGTGTAAGAGCAAACAACTGCCAGAAGTTCAGCAAGACTGTCTTGCTCAAGATCGTAACTTGGCTAGAAAAATGGAACAAGAACGCAGGAGGAGAGAAGCAGTAAGTTGCTGGCTTTCCAGCCGATTTTGTTTCATTTTATTGAGAAAAGAAAATATGCTTTCTCAGGTCTTTATTTTGAAAGACCTGAACTATTGAAAAACACAGAACTCTGCTACCTGAAAAGTTGGTCCAGAAAATAAACCAGGTTTTCAGGTGATGTAGCATGAAAGGCTCTCTATTTGGTTCCATTACTCCCATCAGCTTAGAATAACTGCATGGTAATATCAAATTTTAAAGTGATGTTCCTGGTCTCTACATTACTTCAAACCAGAAGTCTTGCAAGTTGTCCATCTTCTCCTATGCGCTGCATGTTAATAACAGTACTACTCATATTGTCCTGGTCTGAAATACCAAGACAGAGCGTTTTTAAAAGCATCTTACCAATTTGATCAGTATTGGTAAGGAAGGCACTTTAGTCACCCCTATTTCCCAGATAAAGTGCATGTTTGTTTTAATCCATAACATGGACAACTGAACGCAGTGTGATGAAGGTCACACTGGATTCACACAGGGTCTCCTGAAGCTTGCTTTCTGTGCAGCTGTTTTCAGAGAGGACTTTACAAGCTTACATGCATCTTGTTTGTGACAGAGGAAGCCTGGGCAAAGGAGGATTTCATTTTTTTCCATCTTTAGTCTTTCTGTATTTGACCTGCACGGTATTTATTACATCTGACTGCACTGAAAATATATTAATTTTCCTTCTTACAGATGACTTGTACAATTGATATGAATTTGCAGAGTGATATTATGGCAACTTTTGAAGAAAATCTTGAATGAAAGCTGTAGTTCATGCAGAACATTGACACTACTACAAACTGTATAACTTTGAAAATGTACTGGTTATAAGCTTAAACATTAAAGAGTAAGTTGCTTTAAAATGCTTAATAGTAAAAGCTTATTGGTATTTGAAGGACTTGTTGCTTGTTCATAATGAGATCTACATGTTGTTAGGCAGTGGAGCATAGTTGTTTTTCTGATTACTGTTATATCTCGCATACATAGGAGAAAACACCAGTATCTTGATTTCTTTTTAATTTTAAACTTGTTTTAAGATCAATTATTTTTCAGATATACTCATACTATATACGTGCGTTACACCAATGTTGGGTGGGAGGGGCCGACCCGGTTGAATCTCCCGCTCGGCTCTTTCCCCATGGGCCTTTCCTGCCCTCCTGCCTGTTGCTGTTCTGCACAGCCCTCCTGTGAGAAGGGGGTGCTCGTGCTCCCTACTAAGCACCCACTGGTGCCTCTCCTGTGGACACGCACCTGCCACGTACATCTCCTTTTTGCCTCCACTTTCTGGTATTGCTGAGAAGAGTTTGGCTCTATCATGAGAACGCAGGACCAGCGTGTGCTCTGGGCTAACGCAGCCATTCCAGCTGCTACTGGCTTCTTGCATCGGGATATTCCTTCCCTCTGGACTTCAGAGGCTGGGGAGAAGCTCACAATTAACTCTGGGATATCCAGTAGCCTCTTCCCAGGTTTTCTTGGAGGATGCTTTCTACTCATTCACTCTGACATCTCCTTTACTAAGGTGCTCTATGCCCGCTTTCTACTCATTCACTCTGACATCTCTATGCTCTATGCCTACTATGGTAAAAATACCAACATCAATTGCTTTCCTACTGTCGCACTTTCCCCTCACTGCCCTCCAGCAGTAAAGTAGAAAATCCTGCAGCTAGTCTGATACTGAGAAGTTGTGAATGCTTCTTTTCTACACGTTAACACAAAGGCTGACACATAACAAAATTAGTTATAAGCTAATCCTAAAGTTGGCAGTATGAGTAATCTGGGCATGAAGGTAAGGGTCAGGTATGACTCATATAATCCTACGGGAGACGTGGGGGTTACTGTCTTAACTGACTCCATTAAGATTCCCTTTCACTTCATAAGAACCGTTTTCATTTCTCCTCCTATTGCCCAGGAGAGGGAAACATCCTTAAACAGCCCCACGTTTTCCTCCTGCCCCATAGCCTGATACAGCCCCTGACCATGAGCCTGGGGGACTGACTGACAGCAAGCAGGGCTACACTGGCACAATTCACACATTTTTCTAAATGCATAAACTGAAACCACCACTGTCATCTGATGTAGTTTACTGGGAGCGGATTTCTGCTCTTGATAAAAGGAAGCTAGATGGCTTCCTTTACAGCTACTCGAAGATGTTATCTTTATTAGTAAAAAATACAAAGCCAAATTTCAATTTATTTTTATCTTAAACTTTTCAGTGAAAGAAAAGGCAATAATGGGCAATTCTTTAGAACATTCCCTTTTTCTGCTTAAGCTTTATTTTGATTTTACATATAAGAAAAAATCTGAACTCATAGAAGGCAGCCTTAATTCTGCCATTGCATTCACTGACACAAGGCTTCAATATTGGAATCTATATTTGTAAGCCTGAATTTAGAACAAGTAGGAGAAAGCATTTGGTATGTTACAGACAAACTGTCTGCAAGCTGTGTTCCATGCATAAGGTAAAACAGGATATATATTCTGTCTGTATGCATGCTTCCCCAACTGCTATTTTAAAATAACTCAGTTACATGCCTTTGAGTTATCTGATGCATGGTGTCTTTGTAGCAGAACGCACCAGTCATTTTGAAATTTGAGTTCTAATCTTTCACATTCAGTTGAACCAAGTACAAATCTTGGCCTTCAAATAAAATTTGGCCAACGCCTTCACCCCAAACATCATGAAGGCAGGTGCAGACAGGCCTCCAGTACAGGTGCCTCTCTTGTATGACCAATACATGTCCTGGAGGTGCTGGTGAAAAACCAGGTGCAGAGCAAGGAATAAAGACAGGCAGGTTCACCAGCGAGTTGGAGTGGGATGTGACTGCAACCCCGCTTCCACCTTTCTTCTAACCACAAACTACCCCCTCCATGTTTCTTTATCTCCCAGTCTGATCAACTGCACAGTATTCCTGTATTCTTTCATGTGAAAAAATAAGGGTTGGATATAGCCATACTGTTTCTTAAAATTTTCACTTACATGGATGGCTACCACCTTAATGCATCCTCTACCTGCCTCTCTCTGGGCTGTCCTCCTCTCAGCGGATCTCTGGCCTCGCAGGGCAGTGCGTCCTGGCAGGGGCCCTGCAGCAATTTAAAATAAAGGAAAGACATGAGATTGCTAATGGAGGAGGCCAAATCATCATCACGAGCTCTATTCTGGTGAGAGGGGAGCGACATCGCAGCCATGCACGCTGATGCTATAAGCTAAGCAATTTTTCTTTTAGAATAAATTGAAAAAAATAAAAAGTTACTCAGTGCTGGCACTGGCGTTCAAATGAAACGGGCACCCCCCTGCGACGCGCTCCGTCCCTGGCAGGGGCCCACGGTGGCTCCGCACGGGCGCTCCGAACGGCACCGCCCGCGGGGGCGGCGGGGAAGGACCGAGCCCGCAGCCGGCGGCCCGGGCGGCACCGGAACCGGGGGCCGCGCTTCGCCGGGGG